ATTTGAGAAAAGTGTAATGACATGACTCTGGTGGGACTTGAACCCACAACCTTTGAATCACTTCATCATGTGTAGGAGTCCAATGCGCAAATAATAAAATAAAAGCCACAGACAGAAGCATTTTTGACATACTTTTATTTCCACATTTCTCCTCTATCACTTTTTTTTTACATTATTATTAATTTTTTTTTTTACATAAGAACAGACTGTTATACACAGATACTGAAGCAAGGGGAAAGGTGGTGAGGGAAAGAAGACAAAAAACCATACAAAATGGCATCTACTCAAGCACAACAAAATCTATGTATATAAAACTCTGTGGGTTGCAGAGGCACCAACCACTACCTCAATTATTCATGTTTTAAATAGATTAATAAAAATACAATCTTTTTAAATGGACCTTTTAAAGTGGGTGGTGAAATTAAGAGATCTAGAGGTTTAACGATGGGATTCGATAACGGGGCGATGGAGAAAATGTGGTCGGCTTTCAGGGTTTCTCCATCTGCCCGAAGCGCGAGGGGAAGAAAAAAAAGATAAACAAAAAAAAACATCTTTTTTGTCTGTTTTTATTTTTTAATGGCACACAGCAACTAGCGGTGGCTACTTTTCACTTTTCACCATATACTTGAACACTCAACATGATCAACAACGGCACACGATGAGGGAGGAGGAGGCAAAAGAAAAATAAAACCCAGCTTTGTGAGGTTCTCAACATCATTCGCCTGCTTTCAAAGGAAAATAATGAAGTCGCTCTCCGTGTTGTAGTGTTTCCTAGTTAGTTTTAGTGAAGAGAGCAAAAGGAAACGGATGAAGCTGTGTGTGTTTGTGTGTGTTGGGAAACACAGTGAGGTCTGCAGAAATGCTCAAAGTTTTCAACCTTTTTTTCTTTCTCTTTTTTTTTTAAGTATTCTTCTTCATTCTTGGGGAAACCACATGCACACGAAAACAACCCCCAAGTGTCTCCACTGGGTGGCGCTTCGCCAGACCAATCACTCAATTTTCCAGTTTGAAAGCAGCATGGAGGAGAAAACTGGAAACGTCAGGGGAGGAGCTCAGGAATGTCGTGTGCCTTCTCGCTTTTGTTTGTTTGTTGTTTTTTTTAAATACAGTTTCTGAATAACCCGGCTGAGGCGTTGCTGGGCAACCTGCATCAGAGCCGAGGTCTGCTCTAACTCTAACCCCGCCGCCCCGGCTCAGCGGTAATCTTGGGCTTACAGGATGGAGCCATGCACAGAGTGGCCTGCAGGACGTGTGGAGAGAGAGAGAGAGAGACGGCTTGGAGTTAGCGGCGCCTGGGACTCTGTCATCTGTTGGCGGGGAAGTAATTAGGGTCCAGGTAGTTGTAGCCTGCGCTCTGCGGCAGGCAGTAGTCCCTGTCCAGAAAGGTGTCTGGCTGATACACCGCTTCCAGGTGGTGGTCGGGTTTATGGGTCTCCGTCTTGAATAAGCTGGAAGACAAAAGACTATGAATCTAATGCAGCGTTCATACTGAACGGGATTTCAGCTTCTCTTTCACACTGCACTGTCACAAGAATTAAACTAATTTAAGAAAACTGTTCCCCTCCTCGCCTGCTGGGGCGCTGCACCAAGAGCAGCGCCCCAGCAGGAAACATGAAAACCTCTGAAGAAGACCTGAGCTCAACTTCCTTTTTCATAAAATATAAACAAAAATGGAGTAGCACAGAACTGTCACGGTATCAAATTTTACTGGACGATAAATTGTCCCAGAAATTACTGCGATAAACAATATTATTGTTTTGAGACTATTTTTAAATAATATATGATGATGGAATAATAATAAAGCAAGAGCACATTCTCAAAGATGAATAAACTTTATATTGTAATGATCATTTAACACTGAACTGTGAGACATTTTAAACATTTAAAATAAATAAAAGAACAGAAACAAGTCTTTGTAAACAAAACTGTCCTGAAAAAAACAACAACAAAAAAACAGCTATTTGAGAGCAAATCACCAGACTGAAGGTTTTTATCACTCAGTTTTTGTTAGAAAGAGAAAAACAATAAATTATTGAGATCGTTTTAATTTATCATGCGATTAATTGATTTATTGCTTATTGTGACAGGCCTGGTGTGGCATCAGATTTTAGCCTCTTTTGTTTCTGGTAAAAAAGTAAAAAAAACTTTCCAAGTAATTTTGGCTTAATTTCTACTGGAAATATCTTAGTGCACTTGAAATAAAACAGAACTAACTTACTATCTTTGAAGCGGTGGTGCATTTAAAACAAATAATACAAAATATATATTTAAAAAAATAGGTAAAATAAATAACATAAAAACACCAAACAAAAATAAAATAGGTAATATAAATAAAAAAACATATTCCAAAACAATAAAATACCAATTTAATTAACTAGAAAAAAAGTTAAAATTAAATAAAAAATATAAATGCCACAGAATAAATTAATATTGGTATATTTTAAAGTGCACAATATTAAGGCGTTTATACAGCCTGGAGTCACATTTCCATCAGAGTTTTAGGAAAATTAAATGCTAAACTTTAAATAATTAGACTGACAGATTATCATTAAATTCTGTGTAAGAGAACAGAACTTTGCAACTGTTCAACTACTTTTTAAAAAACAAAACCGTTTGATGACTCAAAAATGTTATTCTTTAAATTTAGTTTGTTTATAGCCATTCTTCAAAAACATGGATGTATTTTCTAATCCACTCAGTTTAAGCTTTTCTTGCAACTCTGTAGTTAATCTGATGCACAAAAACGTCACATTTTCTAAACTGTTGACTGTGTGCCGTCTTTTATGACTTTATATTTTTGTGTTTTTATGATGTAAAGCACTTTGAATTGCCCTGCTCCTGAAATGTGCTGTACAAATAAACTTAGTAAACTGAGGTATATTTAGCTGGGAAGGTTCTCACCAGTCTGAGCAGTTGGAGCAGAAATCGACCGAGTTTTCTGGAGGACAGTCCTGACAGTGCCAACGGACCCCCTGGATGGGCTCCATGCTGCACACGTCGCACTGCGCAGCACGAGAAAAACAGAAGCAGAAACATCAAATATTTATCTAATAATAAAGGACCAGTTCTTTAAATTTCCATTTACAGTTCTTGATGTTTGATTCAACAGGATATTTTTAAATGTGCTAATTTGTAAAAGTCTCCCTTCTATGTTTCCTGCTAACAATTCAAATAATTTTGAAAAGCAGCCATTTTCTGTTGTGTTTTGAGTCGAGACTGCTCTGCATATTAGTCCATAATCAGCAGTTTATTAAGCGACTGGCTAAGTAATGAACCAGTTTTCTTCCCAATGCAAATCAAATGCTGTGTATTTGTCGTCGTCTTGTTACTTATCGAGTTAGCTGCTCCTCATTTTGCATTATTTATATCATTCTGCCTTAAAAACTGCACATAGCGCGACATTTTGGAGTTAAACTAAGCTGTAAACATTATAAGAGTTAATTTTATATCAGTTCCAAAGCAAAGGCGTTCAAGAGACCAACATTTGTGATCAAAAGTCACAAATTTACCACAAACAGGTTTGGGTGTTGCATGTTTCCGCTGCATTACTTCACATATGTTTATGAATGAACTACTACTTTTAACTACAGCTGTTGGTAAGATGAATATTCTGCTCTGCTGCAGAATTTATGCTTTAAAATGTCTGATATAAAAACATAATCTGGATTTTTTTTTCTACTGATCTGCATCAAGTGCATATTTTTTGGGAGGTTTTTGACATCTGCCTTAAAAGTTAATTACACTTCTAGAAAAATATGTGCAATTTATTATATATAAGTGGTCGCAAATGTGAGGGAAAAGAACCTCAGAACTGTTCTGGAAAAAACGTGGAAATTTCTGAGTTTCAAAAGTTTAAAATTTTCAACTTACGAAAATTTCTTCTGTTAAAAGTTAATTTAAAAAAAAATATTCAGTTAAAAAAAAATCCACATCTTTTTCTAGAAAATTTCTGAGATTAATCTAAATATTTGTGAAATTTTTCTAAAAAAAAACAAAAAACTTTCAACTTTTGAAGCTCAGAAATGTCAAAAAAAAATTCTAGAAAATTTCTGAGGCTGATCTCAAAATTTCTGAGTTTTTTGGCAGAAATTTACTCCTCTTTTCCCATCTACAATGGCCCCAACACGCCATCATAAATAAGCCTTCAAACATATCAGATTTTACAACCATGTTTTATTCCCCCTAATTTCCAATTTATGCAATTTCTGTAGGTTTATTCCAAAAAATCCTAACAAAACTCACGCAGGTTTGTGTTTAAAATGTGGAAGAGTGTCATGCAGAGCCGGCATGCTGTGCAGCATGCAGCAGGAAGTTGTTGTGTGTGCAGAAATGCGTCACCTTGTAACCCATGTGCTGCACCTCGGCGTTATCCTCCCGAATCTCCTGGAGTTTCTGTTTTTTCAACCTCTTCAGCTGTAAAAGCTCTTTGTACTCTTGTAGGTTCCTCAGCTCCACAGGAACGCTCTCCTCATCCTGAGATTGTTGACGTAAACAGAACAAAAATAAGAGCTGGGTGGAGCCAGAGCTGGCGAAGCACAAGCAAAACATCTCCAGGTGACACAGAAAACCCAAAATGACGGTTTTGTTCTCCTCGTTTTTTCTACAGCAAATATTGATGGCTCTGATTTCTGCTGAACATGAGCAACATAAATGGAGCAGATATTTTTATTGTTGAGGCAGCAGAGCTGCGCCAAGCACAGATTGTCCTTGAGCCAAAGGTGAACAAAGAAAACGTTTACAATGAGACGCTTCGGCCTGAATAAGCATCAGGGAAGTACGAGTTTTGGACAAAAGGTTTTTATTTGGAAATTACAAGACTAAATGAAGGTAATGTATTTATGTTGCACGTTTTCAGGAACAAGGCAGCTCAAATGGCTTGTATCTTTTCCACAATATTATGACAATAAGGTCATATTAGTAGAATAAAGATGTAATATTACCAGAAGAAATTGATAAAAAAAAATTTAACGAGGCTTCAATACAGTTAAGATAAAAATATTCTATCGGTGTCTTAATAATTTGATGCTGATGTGATAAAAGATGATTTCCTTATTTGTAAAACTTTTACCAAAGTATAACTTCACAAGATGATCAACATTTCTCATTTTCCTTTATTATTTTTTATGTACAAGGTCTCATAAAATTACTACTTCATTTTCCTAATATTACGACTTTTTATTGCATCATTTCTACTTTGGTGATATTATGAGTTTATACTTGGACTATAATGACTTATTTTTCATATTAAGACTTTATACTTAAAATTACTACTTTATTCTGGTAATATTATGACTTTACTCTTGTATTACTACAACTTTATTTAGGTAATTATGAGTTTATAATGACCAAAATAGAAGGTAATTATACAACAAAATGTTGTATTTTTTTGGTATTATGACTTTATTCTCATGATATTCTGATTTTTTTTAATGTTATGAGTTTATTTTAATTATATTTTGAGTTTATTCTCGTATTATTTCAACGTCTTTGTTATACAACTATTCTGGTAATATTCTAACTTTATTCTCGTAATATTACAACTTCATTTAGGTCATTATGAGTTTATTCTTGTCTTATTACAACTTTTTTGATATTGTAACTTTATTCTGGTAATATTTTGACTTACTTCTTGTATGACATTTTTCTCTCGCAATTTTTTGACTTTAATGTTTGTTTTTTTTCTTCACCTGGCCCTAATACTCTGTTGTAGACAAAATGCAATCTTTATTATTACTCCTTGCAGATCTCTGCTGCCACCATATCTGCCTTTAATATGAAATAATCCCTTCTTTTAACAGGGAGATGGGAGAAAACCATCTGTGTTACCAGCAGGCCTTGGGGAACCAGTTTTACTTAAAGGTTAGAGCCATCAAAGGGCCAGAGGAAATGTCAGAGCTTTGATAGCATCGAGCATCAGGAGCCGTGTAGTTCAAACAGAGGAGAAACACAGAGCTGGCTCAGCTCCCTGCCCTGATCCCACTTGTTTTCAACAGCAAAAAGAGCCGGGATTGGAGGTAAAATGAGAAAGGACTGAATGTTTCACTGATTGCAATGGCGTCAAAGTGGAGAAAGAATAAGAAAGTGGAAGAAAACTGATGTAATTTCGCTCAGTTTTAAATCGATCTGCAAGAAGAAGAAAGGCTTCAGGGCTCCAAAAGCATGGAAACTGACTTTTTACCCTTTTCTTGGAGATATTTTTTTTAACATTTTAAACAGATATTTTCCCCAAAATAAAATATGTATTTCTTGAGAAAGTAGGAAAGATCAAAGTGTGTTTGTAGATGACATTTAAAGCTATTTAATTAATTTCAATCAAATAATCTTAGAGAATTTTGATTATTTCGGTCACAATTTGATTCAATAACAAATATTGATTTAAATACTAATAAATAGCATACAAGTAATTAACTGGAGTACCCATTAATATTTTATGTATTACTTATTTTTGTTGTTTTTTCTGCCATATGGTGGTATACGCTACGTTACCAGTCTACACACATTTTTAAACTAAAATATCTGAATATAAAACGGTAGCAATAATAACAGGTGTGCTCAAGATGGAGGACAAAAGTTAAAACAAGACACGACTGTATTAAAACTGAAGCGTGTGCACTGTAAAAAACAAAAAAATCTTACCTAGCATTATTTGCTGGTTTCAATGCAAATATAGGCAATAAAACAAAACTAACTTACAAATAACTTTTTAATAATTTAAGTCAATAACTCCTTAAAAAAGTTGTTCTGACTGACCGAATCGTCAGCAGAAGGGTCCTGCACGCTGTGGTAAAACGCCGCGCGCTCGTCCTCGTCCTCCATGTAGACCGGAGGCTCGTAGGAGGTCAGGAAGGTGGACGGCCGGTACAGGTGCTTGTTTAGGTGATGCTGTCTCTTACTGGAGGCCTGCAGGAAAACCAGAGACGGTTACAAACAAAGGGAAGCTTTCTGAGCCTCAGCAAAACTGCAGTGTTTTCCCTTGGACAAGGATCTATAGTGAGAAGTCAAAATGAGGGGATAGTCAAATTAAAACTCCGCATAATCAGCAAGCGGTTTCTGGATGATAAGCAAAGGATTTAATTGAATTTCCCTTTGGTTTAATAAAGTTTTTTTCTTTATTTGAATCTGAAACCAGCTGGCCAAAAGTCCTGAAATTCCACTTGGGTTGCTAGGTAACGGGCAGGGCTTCTCTGGGGTTGCTAGGTAACGTGCTGGGCTTCTCTGGTGTTGCTAGGTAACGATGCAGCCTCAGTTACATTCCAGAAGTTCTTGAGATTTTTTTTTGTCATTTTCAAGATTAACTTAAAGCCAAAAACAGCTGGGTGTTTTTTTTTAAGTAATTAGTTTATAGAAGCAGCAGAAACCCAGATGGAATGTTAATTTTGTATAATATTTCCCTTTAAGCTGAGAAAACAAGCTGTTATACAACAAACAAATCCGGAAATTACAATATTATACAGACCTAACTGAAAGACTGAAAGTAAACCGCTCTATTAAACAAGATTTGGCTTTAATTTCTAATATTTTATTTTACAATTTTATACATAAACATTAGATTTTTTTATTTACAGTCAAATTTAGCTCAGTCAGACTAACACTCTATATTGCCTTTTCCAGTCAAAGACTCAACAAACCAAAGTTTGCATGTTAAATGTTAAAAGTTTATAACTGTATCAAAAGGGGAAAAATGGCTCTGGTATCCAAATACAAAATTTTAAGAAAACCCTTTAATATCTGTAACTTTTAAGCTCAAACTTAAATATTTATATTTAAGTTGTAGAATTTGTGTTCAAGGTAACCAGTGTGTTTACAAAAAGTGAGTAAAGTAGATTCTTGCGACAGATTTAGTTAGCATGCAGGCAAAGGCACTGAGAACACTGCACTATTCCTCTGCATTTCTTTGTTTTACATCAGAAACTGAACATTTTAAATAAACCCAACAAGTTTTCTTTGTTATGGAAAACAAAAAAGCTCATTTACAAGAGTATTTGGGTTTTTAAATCTTATTTTAAAAACAGCCATTTCAAGGGAATTTCCTCTTTAAACTGGTCCATATTCCCCTTTATGTGACAAATAGGCCCATCATCATAGTATGAGAGACATCCCATATCATGATGCTTACACCACTGTGCTTCACAGAGTTCTGGGGCTTGAATTCATTGTTTGTGGGTTGAAAATGTTGCTTTCGTCTGTGCAGAAAACGTCACTCCATTCCTAAGGATGCACTGAAATAAAGTTACCTGGTATTTATATTATAGTTTATGGCAGATCACCAATATTGACCTAATCTGGTTATTTAGTTGTGAGCACAACAACAAGTGGAAAACGGATTATCTTGGATTAGCTGCTGTATTTCCTCAGATTAATTCAAAGTTGGACCTCCAGGGATTTTCCTCCACAGCAGATTGAACCGATTATAAATTAACTATCAAAAAACGCCCTTCAAAGATCAAGAGGGTTTCCATTCAAATAAATGTAATAATTAGAGGCCTCCTCTCTATATGCCTGTGTTTATTGCATGACTTACTTTAAAAATGTGGGGAAATGTTTTGAAAAAATGTGCTTAAAATGACCACAACACAGGAAAAAGTCCAAAATAAAGAGAAATCACAGACTGAGAACATCTTTCTTGTGTGAAAAAAGTTAAATGCTGGACAAACATGTTTATTATCTCATACTCAGATTAGTTTGCTTTGCTTTTCCAATTTACAGACATAATTGTAAGTTAGGATTAGTGTGTCAGATAATAAAATAGTTTCATTTGATCTTTTGGACACAGATTGATCAAGTTTTTGTGATCTTGTTCCCAAAAACATAAAAATTGCGCCCTGAACTGAGAAGGATTCAGTCTTCCCGCGTTGTTATAACATTTATAGCAAATGAAGACAGCAAAAATGTGCTTACTTAGATAAAAAGAGGACACAAGTTAAAATAAGATGAAAAAAAGGAAGAGTTGGGCTCCCAGCCAGTACAACTGAATACATTTCTTAGCTTTTATTTGAGTATTGGTGTTACGTCGTATAGTTTGACCGATGAGTGGCAGTTACCTTTTTAGTGTACATGCAGAGGTTGGGGGTTCTTCCAGGCACAGGGATACCAGCTTTTGTCAGTTTGATGAAATACTTTTGAACCCTGCTGGCAACCTGCGATGTTTCAGGAGGAAAACCGATTCATTAATCACTTCCAGCAGAGGAACAGCTGCTTGAAACAACCGAGTTCAAACACCTGCAGCAGCTTCGCCTATTAGCAAGTTTCACCCTCGGACTTGTTTTCCATTAGAAAAGCAAAGATAAAAAACACAAATGCTGCCAGTAGTCAGGCAGTTAATAGCAGTTTTACAATTATGTTGATGTTTTTCTGCTTTCTAACGTGGGTGTCACCTGTTTGGCCGTTCGATTGCCGAGCTCATCAGCGATCTTCTGCCACCTTTTGGACTCCACCTCTTCAGGCGGGAACTTAACAAGCAGCTGCTCCAGTTTTTTCTATGAAAACAAAACGTTCAGATAAATCTGGAGCTGGGAACATTTAGGCACTTGGCAAATTGATTCGATTACAATTCAGAAAGAGAAGGTGCGACTCCAAATCGATTGCTGATGTAGCATTGACACACATGTCCTCATCTTTTTTTGCACCTCTAGCTTTGTGGTTTAAGATCAGCTTTTTTATTTCCAGTTGAAAGCTGTAACATAGCACCTCTTGTTTCAAAAGATTTTCTTCCAGCTTCACACATCATGCATAAAGCATGAATCTTTTCCAAGTGATTTATGTTAATGGGGTTATTTGGGTCAGAATTATGAATGTTCACATCTTGATGCAATGAAAATTATGATTTTTTTTTTCTCCCACCCTCAGATAAAACTGTACAATAATCTTTTAAAACATTATAGTCACCAGGAAAATAGAAGGTTTTATGGATCAAGATATAATAGAAACTTGATCTGGTTTGTGTTGTATTTGCAAAGTTATTTAAATCTAACCAGAGATTTTATTTAACAAAGGTTAAAACAAAATGGGGGAAAATTAATCTAACGTTTTTTTTCTTGTTTTCCTGGGGACTTTTGTCGTACTCTGTGGTTTTGTTGTTCAGTTTGATTCTTTTAAGTGAATTTTTATTGTCCAGACTGATTACCATGTGCAGGTTTTTGTCCAATTACATTCCAGCTATGAAGCGAGGGTGGAAAGCAAAAATCCTATAAGAAGTGTAGGCGGCAGCTCCTGCTGTGCATAGAAATAATTTAAAGAGCTATAAAAAGGTTCCCACCGTGTGAAAGCACTTAACATGTTTGGGTGGTGCCTGTTCTGCGCAGCTAGACTTAGATTTTACTCCTCCATCATGACAACACGTCTTTCTGCCTTTATTCTGTCCAGACAAAGTAAGAGCAGCTGGAAAATATTCTGCATTTTTCTGTTGGTTTAATGGATCAGGGTTTGTTTTTGGGTTAAGTTCTGTCTTATAATAAAAAAGCCAAATATACCAAAAAATATGCATGCAAAAGTAGCAACAGCTTTTGAACTTCTTTATGCTTTTTTTTCCACATTATAACCACAGGCTTCAAAGCACTTCATAAGGATTTTATGTGATGGACCAAAGCACAGCATAATTATAAAAAAGGGCATGATTTTAAAATGTTCGTATTAAAATCTATTTTAACTAAAACGTTAAAAGTCACCAGGAAAATAGTAACTTTAAATAGTAACTAACCTAATTAATCTATCAATTATTCTGATGATTAATTGGATTAAAATAAGGTCACATTCTGCAGATTTTTTTTAATTTAAGCCTTTTTAAACAATAATAGAAATGCATGAAAAGAATAAACAAATAATTTAATTACTTTTTCAAATAAGAAAAACAGTATTGCCTAAAATGCAATAACATCCCTTTCCTTTAGTGAACGTTTGATTATTTGTAGCAAAAGATTCATCTGCAGGTAAAATAATACTTCCAACATCAACATGTGAAAAGTCAAGGCAATTCTGCTTGACTGAACATCAATGTATGGCTGATCTGCTAATGATTTTATCCAACTGATTAAAAAAAAGTAGATTTATGTCACTTATAACAAGTTATGTCATAAGTGGAACAATCTCCCAGTGGAACTAGTATCTTTTTATATATATTCAAGAATTATTAACTTAAAACAAACTCCTATTTCTTGCTGGAAAGTTACTTGAAAGTTGGTTTTGTCCTTTTTTTAATGCACTACAATATTTGCTTTTTGCAGAGAAGTAATAATATTAATTACACTGAGTCCCCCTCAGTGTAATTAATATTACACAAATCATGTTAAGGTAAGTGATGTTCCTGCTCAAATTAAATTTTTAAACACGATATACAAAGAAAAATACAAAAAATCTGTAAAATAAAAATATTTTAGGAAATTGCATCTGACCTAAAACAAGAAAAATTTAGTCTGATTTAACTTCAGACAGAGAGAAAAAAGATGTGTGAATCTTTTTATTAGGTGAATGAAAATATCTGGTTTCAAATGTAAATAGCGCTTTTATTACAAACCTAACCAAGCACTTTCAAGGATTTTTATACAAAACTCAAGCACTTTCCAAGCCTTGAAAACACCTGCATGGATCTCAAAAACCCGTACGAACCCAATATTCTAGGAGGCGCTAAATGTAAACAGATAGCTGAGCGAATGCCAAGAAAAGTGAAATCAATACAAGTACAAATTTGTGTTGAACTCCTGCTACCAACCTGCTCCTCCACCGTCCACAGCTGGTTAAACGTGTCAGGCTTATTTGGGTGGCAAATCCTCCCCCTGATCATCTGCCAACAACACACAGTGACAGGCATGTTAAGAGACTGACAAGACAAAAATAAAGCACATCGCCGCCGACATCTTGAAAGGATCTCAACATGCAAACTGCCAGGCAACATGAATCCTTCAGCTTGACAGAGAAAGGCTGGCTGTCAGACGTGGCTTGAGACGTGTCGCTGGGAGTGAGCGGAAAAAAAGCAGCAGCTCCTTTTGACTGACAAACAAAATCCTTTCACTATGCAGAGAATGTCGGCTGGGAGAAAGCAAATGTGTCGGCACAAAGTAAACAAGAAGAGCAGCAGGCATAACTGAGGGTTGTTAGCTCAGAGCAGGAAGCTCTGCACCTTTCTAATCCAAACAATCAAATTAAAACATAAAACCTGGCTGCTGGCGCGATTGTGGGAGAGTGAATACACAGACACACGGAAGAAGGACAGAAGAGGCTCGTTTCCATAGATACTTTGTAATTTTTAAACACTTAACTCAGCAAAGCAGTAAGACTGAAAGGGAAGTTTGAGGAGGTGCAAAAAGGTGAAAACCAGCTGATCTGTGAGACAACAAGTGGGAGACGAGTGACTCATCAGCCAGAGTCAGGAACTGCTGCCGCTGCGTCTGTGCTAATGATGAGCATACAGCAGCGGATGGAGGAGTTCGACATTAACAACTCCATTAATGAATATTCCTGATTCATTCAGAGTCTCAGAGCTTACAGTGATTTGTGTTTATTTTAAAATATAAACTACTGAGATTTTATGAGCAGACGTTTTTACAGTGCTCAGGGTTTAAATGCAAAACATGGAAGGATAAATGAGGGAAAGTAGGAGAGAGGGAAGGAATGAAGGACACTATGAAGGAAAAAAGACCCAAGCAGCGTGTTAAATGAGAAACAGAGAGATTACAAGAAAGAAAGGAATGGAAGTAAAGAAGGAAAGAAAGGAAGGAAACAAGAATATAAAAAAGAAAGGAAGAAATAATGACAGACACAAATAATCCAAAAGGGAAAAACATGAGTAAGGAATGATACAAGAAAGAGAGAAGGAAAGAAAGAAAGAGAGGAAGAAAGAAAAGAAGAGAGAAAGAAAAATTCAAAGTAAGACAGGATGAGAAAATAGAAAAGGATGAAAGACAAGAAAGGACAAAAGAAATAACAAATGAAAGAAAGTTCAAAGAAAGAAAAGGTTATAAAAAGAAAGAACAAAGGAGAGAAAGACTGAAAGAAAGAAATGATCAAAGCAAAAAGAAAGGTAAAGGAGAAAAGGAAGAATGAAAGAAAAGACGAAAGAACCAATGAAAAGAAAGAAAAAGAAAAGCGATTAAAGGACAAAAAGAATGAAAGAAAGAGCAGAAAAACAAAATGTACAAGGAAGAAAGAAAGAAAGGTGGTAAACAAGGAAAGGAAGAACAAAAAAGTGATGGAGGACAAGGACAGAAAGAAAAAAATAAAAACAGAAGAAAGAAAAGACAAGGAGGAGGAAGAACAGAAGCAGAGAAGCTCCATTGAGACGACAAAGTTGGGAATAAAATCTCAATATTTTGCTGTTCTCTTATTTTGTTTTTCCGTACTTATCCGGACAGAAGGTAGTAAACAAGGTAGGAAACACGGAGGCTGATATCTCTGACATCAGCCTCCGTGTTTCCCAGACTGTGGGAATCTGTACCTGTGTTTGCCTGCCGTTCTCAGGGGCGTCGCTGGTGGGAAGAGAGGAGTACATGGCTGACGATTCACCTTCCTTCTTGGGTTCAACAGGACTTTTTGGTCTAAGAGGCAAACCTGTAGCAAACAAAAAGAATCAAATCGACGTCCATGTCTACAAATATGAAAATTAGATAAATTCTAACTTCAGACTTGCCTTTATCAAAGATTAACTTCAGCTGCCGGGTTTTCCGTTTCTTGTCGCAGAACTCTCTCTCGAACTCCCCCAGACCGGAGGTGTACTGTTCCCAGGCGATGTCCGGGAGCTGGACGACCCGCTGGGGACATGGCAGACCCAGATTCGCCTGAGAGTCAGACAGAAAACCACAAATTAAATTAAACAATTAAAGTAGGGCTGAAGAGACTAATCAGATTAACGACGATAAATTTAAATAATTGTCAACTAATTCAGTAATCGATTAATCGTTAACCGAAGTAGAGAGACTCAGAAACAGTTTCAGACGAGAAATTAAGACAAAACTGGACATAAAATATATACATTTCATATTTAAGATAAAAAAAACACATTTGTCTGTAAATATGTTCTACGCAGAACATATTTACTGGGCAACATATTTGTGGTTCCTGGTGCATCAGTGCGGCAGAGGGCTCTGTGTTTTGTTCACCTGTTTCTGCAGCTGCTCCACAAAGCTGATGGGTTCAGACAGAGCCTCCCTCTGCTGACGTGCCAACGTCTCCAGGTCCAGAATGGCCTGAGCTCGCTGCGCCTCCAGGACTACGATGGTCTGTAGCAGCCTCTGATAACTGGAGGAGAGGGAAACAAGGTTAGACCGGAGAGGAATGTCAGGACTGATTACATTATTTAACCGGAGGTCTGCAACGCAGCAGTGCATCAACACAGAACCTTGAAGATGTTTCAAATGCAGCCATTTTCCACTTATCTACAAGGAATATATGGGATGTCAATGTTAAATTCTCTGTCTAGATGCTGCTTCTGTAAACTGCGTACAAATTAAAGTTCAAAAACTTCAACAATTGCACAGTCGCTCTTGCCGTCAGAACTGCATGTTTGACCTTTCTCCTCACAGCCTCTGGAGTAACTGAACCACTGCAAACCGAAGCATCACAGACTGAGCCTGGCGCCGATCCAAAGGCTTCCTACTGTACGAAGCTATAAGCTAATGTAGGAGATCAAATGGCCAGAGGGCATCAACCTCACTGAACACAACCAATCAGTGCAAAAGGAGCAAGCAGGCTAAAGTACAGCAACCTTCATGTGCTGGAGAGAAGGCCCGTCATGACAGCAAATGTTACTGGATGATAAACTTTATCTCAATAAACGATAACATTGTTGTTCTGAGACTATTTTCAAGTAATGGTAATAATGGCATAACAATGCAAGAACACACAATCAAAGGTCAATAAACTTTAAATTATAACAAACATTTAACACTGGAACTGGAAGACATTTTAAATATTTAAAATAAACAACAAATAAAATGAATTATCCTTGTTGAGACCAAAACACCAGACTGAAGATGTTCATCATCCAGTTTTTGGTAGAAGGAGAGAGAAGAGTGGCTACTGGAGAGTAATTCTGAATAAAAGTAAACAACAGGAAGAATGCAAACTTGTTTTGCTGAGTGCATGATATCTCTGCACTGCCTAAGCACAAAATCTTACCAAGTATTTCTTCAGATATGCTTCATAATTACGTACATTTTTAATTTCCACTCAGTGAATTATTCATGCTTAGACACTGGACAAAAACACAAAATCTTAAAAGGTATTTTTAGTCTAGTTTCTAATGCAGATATCATAGTACACATGAAATGAGACAAAACTAGCTTACAAGTAACTTTTCTGAAAGATACAGGAGCTTATTTTCAGGTGATATGTCCCCAAAACTGATAAAAAGTTATAGTGAAATGATCTGCCAGTGAAACTAGTACTTTTTTGGTCAATTTTAAGGAATTACTGACTTAAAATAAGCTCTTATTTCTTACTGGAAAGTTACTTGTGATTTAGTTTTGTCTTATTTCAAGAATACTTAGATATTTGCAGTAGAAAGTAGACCAAAAATACTAGATAAGATGTTGTGTTTCTGCAGTGTGTTAAGCTGTTTTGGGAAAAGCAGGAGGACTTGGCTGTGCTTTCCAGCTCTCTGGAGTCCGTCCAAACGTCCAGGGATAAGTCTGGTGTTTTATTGCCACCTACTGGGTCTGTGGTCTGACAACAAACAAGGCCACATGATGAAAAACAGGCCTGGACGTGAATGTTTCCATTTTAATGTTTAATCACCGATTTGAAGAGAGCAAATGATGGCAAAGCGGATATAAATATGGGATGTTCTGTCAGTGAACAAATTACAATCTGTGATATTTCTGTTTAATCAGCAGCTCTGAAAATGCCACATCATGCCTGCACAAAAGTGACTCCAGGCCGCATCGATCCGAGCTTTAAAAATCCTCCTCGCTCAGCAAAGGCAAACATCACCACGACACTAAAGCGTGATCAAATTACCAAGCAATACGAGAGCACTGAAATCCTGTAACTGCTTTTAAAATCTCCAACATTTACTAGTGTAGACGACAAAACGGACCTCATAAATCAGAGCAGTTAGCCATCAAAATGTGGGGCCTGAACGGCAGCGTAAACATCTCACCCTGTATGACAACTAATAAAAAACTGACAGCAATACCAACAAATGCATCCCAAAATATTAAACTCTGCTTCCTGAGAGGTAAGATAACAGAAACAATCAACAAAGTCAATTTAAAATGCAATTTCTGAGGCCTTGTTATTCAATTTGCACAATCAAGAGAATGAAAATAAAAGGTTTGAACGTTAAAAACAGACGTCAGGCTAAAAATGAAAGTTCACATCTCACAAGCAGTTATTTACAAAATAACTATAAACACTGAATTATGTGACATGATGGCACTGTGAAGTTACTGGCATACTAAAGCTGCAAATCTGTCTGTTTAATCTATTTTTCCCCTTTAAGTATCAAACTTGGTTTTGTTTCCTTAAGTCAAATATTATCTGGAAAGGTGTCAGATTTAGAGAGCAGAACTGAAGAAGGATTTGAAAGTCTAATATTTTCTCTTACATATTTCTTGTTTTAGTTTTTTTGTCACATTTACATGTTTCACATCATCAAACAAATGTTAATATTGGATGAAGATAACCCTAATAAATCCAAAAAGCTGTTTTCTAACGATGATTTCACTTATCAATGAAAAAAGCTGCAACCTGGCCTTGAGGGAAGAAGTAATTCTCTCCCTTGTTAAATCATGAATTAACTGCAGCAAACCCTGGCCCCAATTATTACCCGAGCTGCAGTTATAATAAATAACTTAAAAAGAATATCATTGGTGGCTGAAAGACTTCACAAAGCAACACATCATCCAAAAAAACAGTAAGAAAAGTCAACATCTGTCAGTTTGGTTTGGAAAGGGTTACAAGGACATTCCTAACACTCTGGAAAGCCAGCAGAAAAAAATACCCAACTGGAGAAAACACGCAGCGGGGGTGAAGCTTCCCAGGAGACGCCGACCAACCAAAATTACTCCAAGATGAAGTCGATGTTTCAGTCAGGAGTTCACAAAACAACTCAGAGTAACATCTAAATCTCTGCCTCAGTTCAGCTAACGATTCAAGAATCAGAAAGAAAGAGCGGGAAAAATGAGCTCCGTGTGGCTAAAACCTCCTGGAGGATGATGACCAGCAAGATCATCAAGACTAAAGCGAACATTATTTGGAATGTGAGCATCTGGTTACATTTGACCAGAAATTTGAAGCAGACCATCATACTGACGGTCATTAATGGTGGTGCTAATGTGAAGGTCTGGGGCTGGACGACTTGTTATAAATGATGGGGTTGGGACTGAAAATCCTGCAGAGCGTCCAGCCATCAGTACAGGACAACGATCCAAAGAACAGTAGCAAGGCCTTGTGAATAACTAAAAAAAATTAAAATTTTGGGGGCGGTTTAGCTAAAGTCTTGATTTCAGATACTCAACACCTCCAACGTGGCTGAACTGACACGTTTCTGAAGACTGGGATGAAATTAATCAGTGATCATTGCCAGCATTCGCTAACTATGGAGGCCAAGTTTGGGTAGAACAACCAAACTATCTCCGAGGATAGACTCCTATAGTGCCAGGTAGATTTCGGCAGCATTTTTACTGAGCTCATCATTTGAAAACTGCTTTTTGTATTTACTCAATTATTTTTTACCTGGTGTCAAAATTAGTTTGATGATCTGAAACGCCTTTTCACGCCACCAGAGAAAACTCCGTATTGGGGAAAACTTTTGGACGTGTTATGAATAATGACCTCAAAACAAGACTTCGCTATACTTCAGTACCTTGAATTTAGGCGTTCAGTATTACGACTGTAAAGCTGGTTACCGTATTTCTATTGTGATGCATTCATAGTCAGTAGTGTATATTAATTGATTCTGGTTTTGATAAACACACCTGAAATAGATTTTAAAATCACCAAGATGCTGAAGAAAAGCAACAAAATTTAAGACCACATTTTACCAGTGGGATAATAAATTAATTTGATGCGTAGAAGATTTATTTAATGAGAATATTTTTCCCGCGTTTTTGCAATTCCAAACCAAATTTACTTTGGAAAGTAAAGATTTCTTCAGACAACTATTTAAATGTTTAAATTCTTCCCTAATCGGTCCCCTAGCTCTATAAGACAGTGTTTAATTTAAAAGACATTTAAAAGACTGAGCTCCATAACTTGGAGGACTCAACAGCTACATTAGACAATCTGAAAAGGGCCAAGCAGAAGATCTAGGAGTGAACAGACAACCAATGGCTGAAATCCCCAAAATATATTCATTCTACTTCTGTATGAATCTGCAGTTTAGTATTTTTTTAAAGATTGTATTTATCCAAACTGGAGCTGTTAAAGATGTTTTTTTCTGTCGATCCATCTTGTGTTATCAGATCCAATCTGGGCTTTATTTGGAGACACTACACGACTCTCCACACTCCAGACTGTAAGGTCTGTTTTGTGACTTTGATGCCACTACTGCATAGGAAACCTGTGCTCACTCTGCATTAATGAAGGACATAAAATTGTGAAAGAGAAAATAATTTTTAAAGGTGAAATCTGAACTTTTTTTTTATTCAAATTGGGAATATTTTATAGAATATCTTGGTGAAGATGTATAAATAATCTACAAAGTGTTCTGGAGATGTATGATGTCCTCTCATGTAGACTGTTCTGTTGCCTTTAAGTTTCTCTTGTTTTTCTATTCAAATAACTTCAATAAAGAGAAGTGTTTTGGGAAAAGAAGAGTGAAAGTGTGAACAAAGAGCCAAGTTTGAACCTGGAACCAACACCCCCGTCACTGGGTGACCCAGTCGCATTCTGACATCACTACACTACACTGACCTCTAAACTGCATTAACATGCTTTAATTTACTTACTATCAACGGTGCCACCTTGCTTTGCATTAATATAGCTGCAAAGTTATTTGATCTTTCACTGATCCATAAAAATAAAATATGGTGTTGGAGGAAAATAGTGTAGATTGACTGGCATCTGTTTTTCCCCCTTTTGCCCACCATCGAGTAGAGCTATTACTCTTTTCTTCTCCTCCTGTAATAATAATAATAATAATAATAATAATAAGCACACGAACAGCCATAACTGTGTTCATTCACTAATGGACTGATGTGTCTGTTGGCTTTGCCTGATGCAACTTTGCTGCAGCAACATATTGGGCGATTTGGCATCTTCAATCCAAAGTAAAAGGAATTACTGTAATATTGATCTGTGTGCCAAGCTTTACGTCCACAAGTGACAGATTTTACTATTTATAATCTCGGCTTAATGGACAAGATTTTAAAGCTCAGTAAAAAAACAAAAGGAGTGAGGAAAATGTAGGGAAGTTGTAACTGATCGCAATATTCAACAATTGAGTGATTTTCAGTTCTATTAACTACACATTAAACTAAAACCACACACTGTATTTTATGCATATTTACCACATGTAACATCTAAACATGACTGTTTTTGCTTTATGTAATAAGGTCAAACAAGAGCTAAAGTACTATGATCCAATATCCCTCACATACTCTTTGTTGTGTTTAAGAGCCAGGTGGTCTGACTCAAAGTAATACACGTCTGGCTCCTCCTCTTCCTCCTCCTCCTCCTCTTCAACGGTCTCGCTATGTGTTAGCTCCTTGCCATTTTCTGTCTCCTTGTCCTCCATAAAGTCACTGTCCTTCTCACCTGCTCTACAACTAGGATTCACAGAACTTGGCTCCTCACTGGAGAGGCCAACTGAGTCTGAGCAAGAAGGTTCCTCTAACATTGGACAGTCGTCCTCCACCTCCCCTTCTTCCCTAAAGGGACCATTGTCTGTCACAGGAGAGCTGGGTTTGGCGGGAGATGCTTTCCCACCAGACACAACTCTCCTAGGTGAAGTCCGCAGGGTATATCTGTGTTCGTTGAGCTCTGTGAAAGAAGGGGTCGTGCTGGACATTGAAGGGTTGCACTCTGGCTCTGTGGGGGATTGGGGTGTTGTGGGTGTGGGCGTAGTTTCTCCTGAGTTGCTGTTGTTGACTGAACTACAGTTTACGTTCGCAGTAGAGGACGAAGTGGAGGCAGCAGGTTCCTGTACTGGTGATGGTGACCGGCCGTTTGTATCGCCCTCACTCACAGTCACCTGCTCCTCGTGAGCCAGACCCAAGGGGTCACCCACCACATCGACTTCCACCTCCTCCACCTCCTGCTCTTTGGCCACTATCAACTCAGGAACAGGATCTTCTACAGCACCCATAAATGTTAGTGCAGATGAGGCTGGTGATTCTCCTGAGCCAAAGACCTCCATTTGCCCAGGTACAGAGTTTTTAAAAGGCACAGAGGAGTCAGGGGATGAGGGAACCTCCATTTGACTGCCATTTAGCAGAGAAGGGAAGCTGGTGGCAGAGGTGGGGGTTGCACTGGGATGTTCAGTGACTGTGCTAGTTTCCTCTGCATCAGTTTCTCTGAGTCCATTAGAGGCCTTATGGGAATTTTGTGGCAAAACTGGCCCATCACAATCCATGCAATGATCTTCTTTCACCTGTCGCCCAATTACCTCACCTTCCTGCTCACTGAGGATAGAGGAGGCAGGTGGTGCATTACAAGAGTTGTGGCTGGGTAAGTCTTCACAAATTAAGTCCTTGCAAGGCTCTGAGACAGAAACTTGACTTTGGGGATTCAGAAACCCTTGGTCCTCTTCATGTCCCAGAAACTCTCCAGCGAGAGAGCACTGCTTGGCCCTTTTGATTGGAGGCGAGGTATTCCGCCACCCTTTCCCTGTGTCACAGTTCTCGGACTTCTCTTGGTTAAGGTCTTTTTCCAAACGTGACATGCCCCGCTTCCTAGAGACGGTCGAATGATCCTCATCACCTGCAGGAATACTGGAGTCAGCTATGTTTCTCTGCAACATGTCCAGTTGCTGACTATCTTGCAAGGAGGTTTCCTGTGGTTTTGTGTCATGTTTAGCAGCATGCTTTGACTCCGGCTCAAAGTCTTGATCAAGTTCCTCACCAGTGTCCTGCTTGTTGTCTTGTTTATTGTCATTCGACTCCTGCCTCGACTCCTTGACGGCGTCCTGCCTCGACTCCTTGACGGCGTCCTGCTCCGACTCCTTGACGGCGTCCTGCTCCGACTCCTTGACGGCGTCCTGCTTCGACTCCTTGACGGCGTCCTGCTTCGTCTCTTTAATGGAGTTCTTACTTGTATCCTGCTTGGAGTCTTGCTTAGAGTCCTTGCTATTATTCTGTTTTGATTCTTGTGTAGAATCCTTATTTGTATCCTTCTTGGACTCTTTACTATTATTCTGCTTTGTCTCTTGTGTTGAGTCCTTACTTGTATCCTGCTTTGATTCTTGCTTGGAGTCCTTCCTATTGTCCTGCTTTGACTCTTGCTTGGAGTTCTTACTAGTATCTTGCTTGGTCTCTTGCTTTGAGACCTTACTGGTATCAGGCTTTGACTCTTGCTTGGAAACCTTATTGGCATGCTGACTTGACTCTTGTTTGGAGTCTTTACTGGAATCCTGCTTTGACTCTTGTTTGGAGTCCTTACTGGTATCATGCTTTGACTCTTTTCTGGTATCATGCTTGGACTCCTGCCTGTTGTCCTTATTGGTATCCTGCTTGGACTCCTGCTTCTTTTTGGGGGAGCGTGCCCTAGGTTGGGGAGATACTGAGGTCTCCTCTGGCTGGGCGATGCTGCGGTTTCTGAGGGTTCGACCACAAAACTTCTCATCCAATCCATTGAGCCCCACTGATGACCTTGTGACACGCGAAGAACGGGACGCGGCCATACTACGGCGGGTGCCTACAGTCTCCTCATCCTGGTGCACTCTCCTCTGCAGCAGAATGTGGGCATCTGAAAGACACAAACCAATGCATTATAGTCATAAGTAAGAGGTACTGGTAATAAAACACTGCAACCTTTCTTGTCTCTGTAAAGTCTGTCTCACAAAGCACTATATATGTTGTAATTGTGCAGCTTTGCCTAGTAGAGTGTTTATTTTAAGCCTCAAATGTGAGCTTTACAATCTGCTTCTGTTTTAATACAAGTAGTTCTTGAGTTGCCAAGCAGTATTGAGAGAGTCCACTAACAATAATATCTTAAGAAAACAGGTGCGTAAGTAGTGAAGAATTCTTGCGCACTTTTATTTTGCTTAATTAAGCACATTCTATGCACCATGTAGAAAAAGAAATATTTACAAAGTGACAGAAATTACAAAGTGTGAAAATGCCAAGTCTGGCAGTGGTAGAACAAGTGCACCATATTCAGGCCATATGCCTCATGTCTTCCCATTCCGTCTCTGCCGTCCTTTCCGTCAAGCTACTGTTGAATAAAGGCCACTAGTGCTATACAAAAAGCTTTACAAAGAAAAAAATTAGTGAGCTGCTACTGTAGAACAATAAATGTTTTTAGTTGCAGTATGTGTTTTGTCCAGGACAGCGACCTGATGAGTTCCAGGAAAAACTTGGAACTCATCAAAATGTAGACAGAACAATAGAGGCATTGGTATAAAAAGTAATGGAGCCTAGATAGGATAAACTCCTATCTAGGAGAATGTCTCGAAAATTTCGAGACATTCATGGAAAGTCCAGTGTAGTTTGAGTGAACAAATTGATGCAGGTCAGAAAACTGGATTGGTTGAGATTTAAGCACACCAATTTAAGTAGATCTCTATAAATAACATTGTAACTATCTAAATGTTGGGAATTTTGGGTTTGTTTGATGAAGAAGTAGAAGATGCACTAATAAACTCTTCCTATAGGACAGTGGTTCCCAAACTTTTTCTTCTGCGCCCCCCCCAGTGGTTTCCAAATATTTTCTGCGCCCCCCCTATGAATTACAACAAATGGTTGTCTGGTTGAAACGACGCGTGTGAGGTGGGGGGCATCGACTTTTTGGGGGGCAAAATGAATGTACGTAGCTGAAAATAGACACCAACATCGGTAGCCTACAAGGTACTTGTTAGGCTTAAGGTTCTGTGTTGATTAGCTAGTCATCTTTTAGCTAACATTACCTGCAGCTTTACTCACCTCAGTCGGTTAGTTTGGAGGGAAAAACTATGAAAAGTTCTTTGCGTTTTGCTGGTTTGCTGCCGTGATTCTAACACAAACCTACGTAGCTCCGCCCAGCAGCAGCAGGTCTCCTTCACAGGTGGAAACCCAGCGCGAGCGTCGTAGCGCTCATGTTAAAGGCGGCTCGGAAAAACAGGTTACAACATGTTAACAAGGGATTAAACAGTTTTAACTGCTGATAAAAGACACAAATATGGGAAGTGTGGAAGCCTCTACTGTATCAAATTGACATAGGAATAACGGAGTTGGCCATTCTAAGGTAAAAACCCAGCGCATACAGTGTTCATGTTTTTTTTGGGTTTTTTTATCCAGACGGCTTCCCGCGCCCCCCCTGCAATGACACGGCGCCCCCCCCGTAGGGGGCGCGCCCCACAGTTTGGGAACCTCTGCTATAGGAAGAGAAAAATCCTGAACAAAAATGTAATTTCGTTGTTACATTTTGTCACCAATCCAATTCCCAATAAATTGGGGCCCAACATGGGCCCTTATCCACGACCCTAATAATGAAGAATTTCATGCTCTACCAACTGAGCTAACCAGGGACAGCCAAGGACAAATGTTTTTCACTCATTACTGTTACTAATGAAACTAATACTCCCGTCACTCCTAATAAGGAGGATGTCAGATGATAATGATGTGATTCTGCTTATAACATTACACCCAAATTGTTACAAACACAGCCATTATAAAAACAACAAATGTCTCGCCTGCTTTGATATCCACAACAATTGCAGTCCTTGTTGGCGTCCTGCAATTGTCAGTGGACTACTGCTTTGATGCATGTTGAGTAAAACTTTTATTGAAGTTTTATTCAACAAACCTTTATAAATTAAGCATAGCCCCAAAAGGTATTAAAACAGGAGAATGTGTGGAAAGTATGTGTTAGTAATGTGCAAATGACATCCAAAACTTAGAAAAATACTAGCTCTTTAATTACAGCGCCTAGCTAATTACAAGATACACGTACAACTGTCAGGATTAGTGAAGCTTTAGTGAAATTTAAAACCACACTTGGGCAGAATCAAACATTTGACAATTTGACAACACGTACTGACATTGGCAGTTTGCCTTCTATTTTCCCAATGGTGGGAAACTAAACGATATTTTCCAAACCAAGTCAATAAAAATCCTTTTTAGAATTCAGAAGTAAAATTCATAATGTGGCTCTCAAAAAATAAAATAAAATTCCCACCTTTTCCTCAAAAGGATAATTATACAATGACCCTAGAATTAAATAAGCATAACAACTGAAACCACAGGAATATTATACAATGATTAAATCCTAAATGTACAAAATATAAGTACATAAAAACAAATTTTTAATTTTTAGTAATTTTCTTATCTCTAAAATCATTGCTTTGACTCAGCCATATTAAGTAAGAAACCTCTAAGTGGTCAAAGGCATTTATCTCATCCTTTATTATGATAAAGAATTTAAATTTTGCTGTAAGAATAATAAATTCCAAATAACCATGCCTGAACACTTAAAGCTTTGTCATGATTGTTACCTAAACTATTTTCACCACTGTTGGCTGTATCGGAGCATGAATGAATAATTCATTTCAAAATATAATTAAATGCCGTTCATGTGCGGAGCTTGGTGATAAAAATCACACTTCTTTATGAAACGGGTCTCCAGAAGAAACCCGTGTTAAGGTGCTTTTTGAGCAGAATTTTTTTTTTACTGTGCAGAATTTATGTATTTATTTTTTACACCACTGTACATTTAAAAAAAGGTGGGAGACCAAGATCAGATCTTTTAGTCTGAATTCAAGTTCTGCAGAGAAACCTGGTTCTGGCAAAGCTTGATAACTGATGCAATAAATATTTGCTAATTAGTATCATGCTTTCAGACTCTCTTCACCTGAAATTTAATTATTGACACTTAGATGTTAAATGCAGCACAAAACTACCTTATTTCAATGCTGAATACTGAAGGTTTTAACCAAATATGTTTAATAAAATCTTGTTGTAGAGCTGGAAATCTTAAATTTAATCAGTTTCCAGGTGCTGAATAGACTTACTACTCATTATCTGAGCTCTATATTCTCTACAAACCCAAAAATACATTAATACAGTTTACTTATTTTATTTATCACAAGTCATTACAGCTACAGTTATTACAGAACATACTGCTTGTTTTCCAAATATTGTGCAGCCCCAGTCATATGCAATATTTTCATCCAGTTCAGTAGACTAATACCTGGCAACCAACCCGCCTCAAAGCTTCCTTTCATTGGTCACCTCCTGTTTCTTTCAGGGAGATAAAAACATGGTAGCAGATATATATATTCATTCCCACACACCCTGCTGAGATTACTGCTTATCTTGTGTAATATAGACTTGGTTTATAAGTAGACTGATATATCTGTCAGGAACGCCAAACTATGATTCCTTCGTACTCAGACGAGATAACACTGCAGACTTTGGTTGGCCATAAGGCTGTTGATCTCTGCTGCCAGAGGAGCCAAACAGCTTCAATCTTTACATAACCTTTTAGAGTACCCAAAAATAAAAAAATAAAAAAAAGCAATGTACACAAAGCATGACAATGAATTTTCCGACACAATTCAAGTAAAAGCAGAGCCCTTGAATGGTCACTCCCATTCCTGCTATAATATCCTGCTGGGAACAATATATGGGTGTGAAAGCCAAGAAACTGCTTCATAATGTGAACAGGAACACAAATTAACATGCAAGTGCGTCTAAGAATAGTTGTGAATTCCCTTCTTGTGTTTTTTAAATAAGACAGAGCCAGCGTCTAGCGTTAAAATATCAAACTAAAAGCTCAAAAGGAAGATTGGGGGAAACACAGAGACACAACATGGAAGCTTTCATGATGAAATGATCAAAATATCCGACTTTACAATTAAAAGGCTTTGAAGTACTCATCTAAGCCAAACTGTACAATACATACACAAACAGAAAGTCTTGCATTATTATGCAGGATGAAATCTGTAATCAAGTTAGCTTTGTGCATGCAAATGTGTAATTAATTAGAGAGATGTTTTATATATATATATATATATATATATATATATATATATATATATATAAAAAAAACCCCTCTCTCTCTTTATCCACATCTCTTTTTTCTCACATA